ACATGAGTCACATGTTGCCATGTTGCTCTCTTAAAACTTATCATTGACATTCCTCAGCTTTATTTGGGTTCATATATTGTCAATCTATTGTCACCTAATGTATAAGTGACACATATGAACAAAATGTGCAACAGCTTTCATCGTCAGCTGTTAACGTTAATGTTTACCAATAACATTTATAGACCTCAGTTAGTGCTTCTAAATTTAGCCTATAAATTTAGCAAGTGCTAATCCACTAATAAATTTTAAAATTAGGAAAAKYCCCAAAGCACTAWTCACGAAATTAGWTCCCCTATTAGTGCTTTAGTGCTTAAGGGGAACTGTGCCCACCACTAAGGAAAATGTTTGTGCAGATAACCTGACATAAACCGAGTGTTTACTGTCTCACACCTTAAAGCGACAAATGCAAAATCCACAGTTTTAGCCATTAAATGCATTGTCAGATCCTGATCTCCAGCTCTCACTGGAGCATTTCACAGCTTAGTGTGAAGCAGCTGGGATGAGGATCAGTGTCTCCAAATCTGAGACCATGGTCTTGAGCAGGAAAAGGGTGGAGTGCCTCCTCCAGGTCTTGAACAGCTCTGGGTGTGTTTATCAGTCAGAGTTCCTGATCTGGTTCCCCTTACCCAACATCTCATGGCCTCTGCTGCAGCAGACCAGCACCAAATACTTTCTTATGAACTGTACGTCAGAACATTTAGTCAAAAGTACCATGATCGTGTCTGAAAAGGATGCCAAAAACAGAACTCTAGAGTGTGTCAGCTAAAACAGTTTTWATAAAACAAAAYTAATTCTCAACATCTCAATCAACCCACAACAATTACGTAAATACTCCCCAATGAATTATTTATTTTAGTCTAAACTACYGAGTTATTGTCAACATACAGCTGATTATCTGTTTATTCTCTCACCAGAGCATTCAGTTTGTTCTGATCACGTGTCATCTATCACACCACAAGAAAATGTCTTCAGTTCAACAGGGTCACAGCTAAACTAATTATTTCATAACAAATGTTTGCTTTATTTGTGCTGTATATAACATGAAGCATTATTGACCTGAGGGTTTCTTTTTCATCTGCTTCAGATTCTTCATTCTTCACAAGTATTTTGGACAAAGTGCTGAGTGATCCAACGCTGTTTCTCGTTGTGTTTGGGACTGGAGTTCTGATCGGGATGTTGCTTTTRTCCATCATTGCTTGTTTTGTTGTCAAGTGTCACAGGTACCATATCTATTATTTTGTTTAATTGTGCAAGTTTTATACTGTATATGCTGAGCTGTCTTACAGTCAAGACATTATGACTACACCTAGGCAATCGCATTTTGTTTTTTGTATAAATTTGGTTTCCGCAACTTTTCGCTTTATTTCTAATGATTTGTGAGAATTAGACAGAAAATACGTTTAAGCTGTTCGCCATGATTTGAAGCAGCAGGAGTGAGACACTTTTAAGTCAAAGGATCAGTAATTAAATAAGAAAGTAGATGTGAGGACATATTGCTATGTCAGTACTTAATAAATTCTATTTTAAAGAACTTTTTTTCAAGAATTACTTTCTTTATATGCATGTTCACAACCACACAAAAATAGACATTTGGATCCTTTCTGACAATCACTGGATGTATATATGTGTATGTATGTATGTATGTATGTATGTATGTATGTAT